AGAACCAATTTAAAATTATGTCCCTTCATAGATTTTCACAATGTTTTTACTGTGGTAAAATTGTATGTTGCTCCTTGTTTATACCAGTATGACAAAACTGACATCAGTTACATGGCAGATGAGAGATATGTATAATACAAGCAAGTGGCAAAAAGTTTTAGGGATACACATGTGAGATAAATTGAAGGAATAGAGTTGATCTTTGATGCCATGAAACAATAAGCATGTCTCATTCAGAAACAAATGCAGTTTCTGAGAAAACTATATATGTGCACTGTTTGTTTTCCTCAGACTAATAAAGAATCAGCAGTAATCTGAAAGCTTTAAAAACTTTTCACATCAAAAAACCCTTTAAAGCCCCAAACTCACTGGTTTTATATTTATGAGCATCTATATATGTTGCAAACACATAATGCACAATGAAAAGCAGAAAAGGCTACTGAATGGCACTTCAAAAATTCATTTCAGAATCTTAAGGGAAAGAAAAATATTTCCACAAAGCACTTAAGAGTTTAAGTTGAAGTCCTGAAAAACAATTGACAGCAGAATTGATCATAAAAACTACCAAAATATGCATTAATGAGTATGAGCATATATTTAATGTATAATGAACATTTTGGAATTCTTTTCTTCACAAGTATCTTAATAGAAAGTTGTTAAAGAGAAGAATTTTACTAATATTCATGAGAAAATGAATAAACGCCTTACTTTTAGAAGAAATGCAACAAAACCAGAATAGAATTGAAAAGGAATAATTAATAATTACTCTTCCAGATATGGGTGTGGATGGTGATAGGAGTTTTTGTTTTATTTTTTCTTTCTCTTGTGTTTTTTTCCATGATATTAGAGAAGAAATTATAGCAACTATTATAAACTGAAGGTCTTTGTTTCCTCTGACAGAGAACATCTCTGTGGATGTGTGAAACAGAGTGGGAAAATAAAGCAAGCAAAGAACAAAAGTTATGAAAATGAATTAATGAATTTATGACTTTATTGCATCTTAGGGAATTTACTCAGCTGCATAAATTAGTGGAAATTCCAATAATGTTCTCAAATGTTCTCTTAATAGGAACTTTGTATACCATTATATACACTTTTGAAGCAAACATAGTGAACTGCTTACCACATGCACCTACATGACAGATGGTATTTTGAAAATAAAACCAGTGAAGCTGAACACATCAGTTTGGGGTGTTGGCTTGTTTATGTTGTTTTGGGTTTTTTTCTGTTTTGTTCGTTTGTTTGGGTTTAAATGTTTATTTTTTGTCTCTCAGTCACACAAAACATCCCCCGGAAAGTAAAAGTGAAAACTGGAGAAAAATCCTGCAAATCCCAAATGTTTTTATTTTTTTTTAGATTTGCAATGAAAAATGTGTCACAAGTCTGGCATATCCTGTTTTTAAATGATGTTTACTTTCTTAACACTGTCACAATAGGTTTATTTAGAATTCTGTTAGAACTACAGTCGTATAGTACGGTTTTATAATCTTCATACATTTAGATTTATTTATTTTACAGTTTAGGAATCTGACATGGGGATAGGAATAGGTTCTATTCTTTTAAAAATATCAGTTTCTGAAATAGTAGTGAGAAGTTCATAACTGGTCATGAAATATAGTCAGTGCTCCAAAGAGCACTCTTACACAGAGTAGGAGGAAATAATCAAGACAGGGATTTGAAGTGATGCAATCATAGAACAGCCCAAGTTGGAAGAGAGCTTTAAATATCATCTGGACCAACATTTCCTAGCAAAGGGAGCTGAAGTGGGATTATCTAGCACCCAATCCAGTCACATCTTGAAAACTTCCAGCGATGCGGACTCCCACCACGTCCCTGGGTAGGTTGTTCCAGTGAATGCTTGTTCTTACTACCAAAAACACTCTTATGTCATGATGAAACCTCTCCCAGTGCAACTTGTACCCATTGCCCCTTGTCCTCTCCACATGACTCCCTGGGAAGAGAAACCCTCTATTCTCTTTGCAGCCACCCTTTAACTACTGGAATACTATGATGAGATCCCCTCCAAGCCTTCTCTTCTTCAGGGACTAATGCCTTCAGCCTTTCCTCACAGGACAGGTTTTTCAGCCCTTCGATGATCTTCAAGGCCCTCTGTTGTACCCTCTCCAATCTGTCTGCAGTCTTTCTGAAGTGGTGGGAATAAGAATAGACACATTAGTTCATCTGCAGCCTGACAAGCACCGAGTAGAATGGGATGATCACATCTCTACTGCTGCTAGTAATGTTTTTGCAGATGTAGCCCAAGATCCAATTTGCCTTCACTGCTGTAGCCTCACACTCTGACTTGTGATCATCTTGTTGTCCTCCAGGACCCCCACGTCCCTTTCAATGATGCTGCTCCCCAGCCACACAGGTCATGGCCTGTTCTGGTTTCTTTGGTTATGTTGTCCCAGGTGCAGAGCCTTGCCCTTGTCTTTGTTACAAACTCACACAGTTCTTGCTCACCCATTCTTCCAGCCTTTTGACATGTCTACCTCACTATAAGTCTGGTGTCATCAGCAGACTTGTGAGACTGATTTCAATCCCATCATTAATCAGATCATTTATGAAGATATTCAGTGTCACGGGGCTCAGTATTTATCCCTTGGTATCCCTGCCAGCTTGAGTGAAAAAGCATCGATCATCACCCTTTCAGTGCAGCCTGTGAACCAATTCTCTACCCATCTTACAGATCACTCACCCAACCTGTATCTTGCCATTTTGTTCAGGAAAAGGCTGTAGGGAATGGTGTTAAATGGTTAATGGTTAAATGGTGTTAAATACCCAAGTCCAGGAAAGCAACATCCACTACCCTCCCCTTGTCAACAGAAGATATTGAACAAAGTCAAAAGAAAAGAAGAAATTAAAAAGAAACTCGAAATCTGAGAGGTTTATGATAATGAGAGGAAGTAGGTTAAGAGGATGAGAATTTTTAATGACTTTAAATTTTCTGTAACAAGACAGGGACATCAATGCAAGAGGTACAGATGATTTACAATGAATTTTCACCCGTTGAAGTTGTGTATGTTTTTGTAACGTCTACACACAGTTGCAGAAGCTGCTGTCTGATGTTAGCCGCAGGATTTAAAGGTTGAATTCTCTGCACATGAAACAGAGCTTGACCTTTCTGGTGATGTATTCTGCTTCCATTCTGCCATAACGCAATTGCTATAAAGCATCACTGAATTCTTAATTAAGAACCAAGTCATATATCGTAATTAAATGCAACTAGAAAAATATTTACTTGAACATGGTCTGAATCACTGCAGACTGTCTGGTTGCACTATTGACAGAAACCAATCTTTTCCAGCTCAGCTTTTATTCCTCATCTGGGTGGTGCTGTTTATCATCAAAAATGTGGTAGGATAGGGAAATTAGTCCTTTGGGGCATGTTCAAGACGGTCTTCTACTTCCTGTATGGATTATGAACTTCCTGGAGATTTAATAAGTACTCTGACAAAAATTCTATAAACATGTATTATGCCATCTAATCCTAGAAAACATAAAACAAATTTCAAGTATACCTGGTCCTTACATAACACTGAGGGAAATGTGGAGGGGACAAACAAGTCAGAATACAACCTTAAACAGTACCAGATTTGGATGCCTGCTATCAGAAGTTAAATTGCAATCCCCAATGTAATAAGTGTGAAGGTTCACATACTACCTATATTGTCAATTCTGATGGTTTTATCATGAATCATACAATGAAATACAATACAAGGCTCAATTTATAAGAAAATGTAAGATTTTCAATTTAATTTTTAAAGACATTTCTAGCCCCAAATGAATGAGGCAAAATACTAAAAATTACATCACAGTACACAGTATTATAAGCATTTAAAATTTCAAAGGAAAAAATCAATCCAAACCATATTGCTTCTAAATGTCCTTTCTTATTTGCAATTCCATGCTTTGGGTGTTTATTTGTGGGGGCTATTTGAGGAGAAGTAGAGGAAAAAAGAAGAGCAGAGGAGTTTGGGTTGCTGGTAATAATTTTTTTCATAAAAGTACTAGCTGAAACACTGCCTATTTTTCTTGCTTGTCTACTCTTTTTTTGCAGTGAGTTCTCTACCATATTTCATAGTCTTCAAGTGGATTTTTCCATCAACACATTTTTTACTGAATCACAGTGCCCATTTTCCAGGATTCATTAAGTAAAATAGTAATGAATGACACATAGTTCATTCATTTTCCCAGCCTCTCTCTAGATAAGGTGTCTCTTTGTGACTTACATAGTGCTTTCATGGTATAAATACAGTATTTCTCATAGTTTGAGAATACAGGGTAGAAGATTAGGCCTAGACATAGAAAGATTTTCGATTGCAGGATATTTGGCAGCAGTTGTGCTGACTACCTTCAACCAAAACATGTTAACCTCTTTGGGATTCCTCTGGGATCAATATGACAAAAGAATAGAAAATGATCCAGGGAGTCAGATTCCAGTAACAAGTTGTCCAAGTTAATTTGTTTACATCATAAGGAGGATGTATTCATAATGTCCACATGGCTTGATATCTATAATATTTATATTATTTTATTTGTATTTATATGGATTTTTATACTTATTTAAATGTACGATGGTTAAATGTTACCTTTATTAAGTTTATCATAACTAAAAGAAAACTAAGGGAAATAATATAGATTTTTTTACATGTAATAATAAAAAGGAACTACAAATATTTTTTTAAAAAATTGTTAATATATCTGACATTTAATTTCTTTGCTATGTTGTCTACCTGTACTTCTTTATATTTGTACAATTCTATCTATACAAATGCAATACTACAGTTTCCCTGAAGTTAATAAAAAAACCCTTTGAATTCAGTTAATAGTAATAATAAAAATATATTCAGCATTTCTTTGTTTTACTTAATGAGGTTTGTTTAAAATTTCTCTGGTATATTTACTGATTTTTTTTCCTTTTTTCTTTTTTTTTCCTTTTTTAATTTTTATTTATTTATTTATTTATTTATTTATTTATTTACTGTGAAAAAATCTAGCTGGTCACTGTGGTATTCCAGATCTTATAGTCAATGGACAAGTAATTGGAGAAAATTATGGCTACAGAGACACAGTTGTATACCAGTGCAGTCCTGGTTTTCGGCTGATTGGTTCTTCTGTAAGAATATGTCAACAGGATCACAACTGGTCTGGTCAGCTTCCATCCTGTGTGCGTAAGTAAGAAGGGCAATACATATGGATTTAAGTTACAGGAATGTCTATGTCAGAAAGATGAGGATTGAATCTGTAGCTTTGTGTTCATTAAAAAAAAAAAAAAAAAGAAAAAGAAAAAGAAAAAGAATTAAAGCAGATCCTCAAAAATATGTGGCTACATAAAATCTACAATCTTCACCTATCAGGTGAAGTGTCGTTGCTTAAAATTTCCACTACATCTTTTGGTTACTAAAACCCTGGTATTTATACATGAATATGAAACTTCTTAAAAAAGTGATAAGACTTAGGAAACCCAGCACTCAAATTGTCAACGGCTTTATGACCTGTAGTGGCTTTTGGAAATATTTAATGTACATTTATTATTACTATTGATAGTTAGATAAGTAGATATTCTTGAATTATACCATCAGCTGATGATTATACTGATAATCATTATACTGATGATTAAAATATTTTCCTCAAAAAATTATAATTTTTTTCCTTACTCTTCCTCACAGTGATGCTGTTATTTTGTTTTCTTTTGTGTAATAGGTGTGCCAACATATCAGATAAAAGAATTTTAAATAATAACAGAAAATGCTGTATTTAATTTCAGAAAAATTGAGATTTCTTGAAGGACTCTCAAGTAAATTACAACTATATTTCAGTTTGAGTAATACTAGTGTATTGAAACTGTATTAATCTGCCTCTAAATATTCTATTTATATATCTTTGTGGCAGAAACTCTCTCAATGATGAAATATAGTATTCAATGCTAATTAATTTATTCTCTGAATTTTTAATTTTTATTTTAAATTAGTGATCAATACTTTTTTATCAAAAACTGGAATTTTTACAACATAGAAGAAAATAATTTTGTGAAAATTAATTTGTGTCTGATTTTCCTTACTGTTTTTTAAACCTGTTTTTTATGAGTACAGAAAATAAACTTCACCTACTCTAGTCAGTTTTTTAAAAATATAAGAAAAATTTCTCCATACCCATAATGTTTCTTGTATCCAGTCATAAATGTATAACTTCACTAATCCTTAGACTTCAAAGATAAAATATTAAGTTAATACGAAGACCTATTTGTAAGAAATAATACTTGAGGAACTGAAATTTTTTTTTTAAATTTCAGACTGTATGTAATGAAAATCTAGTGCTTGCTTTTCTCCTGCTTCTTCAGAAGAGTTTTCTTTATTTGCCTTCATTACTGCATGTCAAATTCTATTCAGTTTATTTAAAATTTTAAAGAAGTTTTCGAATTTGAATCCATCATAGAAGTACTCAGTATCTGATAATATCAAAACTTGAAAATACTATTATATTATACTATTATATAATTATTATCTATTACATAATAAATAATGAAAAGTGATAACAGTACAATCTATTTCTTGTTTCTTTGTTTTGTACTATGTTAGCTGTTAGCTGTGGCCACCCTGGTAGTCCTATTTATGGAAGAACAAGTGGAAATGGTTTCAACTTCAATGATGTTGTGACATTCTCATGTAATACTGGGTATGTTATGCAAGGACCAACCAAAGCACAGTGCCAAGCTAATAGGCAGTGGAGTCATCCACCTCCAATATGCAAAGGTAAGAATGCAGAATATACAAATTTCCAACTAAATGTTAAAAAGTTAAAATTGAAAAATAAACAGAGGGTAAAAGGACACTGTCAAGACAAAATGATCCCTCTCTTACTAAGAGAGAGACTAACTAACTAGCATAATAATCATATTACTAAGGATACTTTGTGATTCTATGATTTTTCACTTTCAGCTTGCCAGGATAACTGTTGCAGAGAAACTTTCTTATATATCTGTAGTTTGTGTTGATTTTTTTAAAACTATTCCTATAAGTTCCTTAAGCAAAATTATACAGAGCTAGTTAAGATCTTAAATCCCGAAATAATGTTCTCTGCATTTTTAGCAACATAGTTCTTGTAGATGCATAAGAAAACCTATTTTTTTCTCGTATGTTTCCATTGATGCTCCATTGAGCATCTTGATTTTTAAAGTTTTTATTCTAATTTGTTAGCTGATCTGTAATCCATTTGTCTTGGTTCTCAGTGCTTCTAGATATTATTTTCAAAAAAATAATATTGTGGAATTAGTTCTTTTTGAGTTTTTATAAGCCCTTTTAGAAAACTTTGTTTACATTGTCTTTTTAAAATATGTTATGTGTTTTTTTTTGTTTTTATTCAGAAAAATGTGGGGTTTTTTGCTGAAACCTACTTGAACATGTGCAGAAGTGGTATCGTTTTTCAGCATCTACAGATTCTATGGATTTTTATCTGTATATGAATAAAGTCATGTTACATTTTTAAAGGAATTTAATTTACTGTCTTTTCCTTCTAATAGGTGTTCTCCACTTTCGTTTGATCACTTTATCTTAAGTGATGCTGCCAAATAGTTTACAGAACTTAAGTATTCCACAGGACTTTTTGTTCATGAGAAGACATTATTTTTAAAATTTACTTATTTTTAAAATTTACAATACTAAACACTGTGTGGTTAGGGTACCTACTTAATTTCATTTTCATTCCAGTTTTTCTCAATCACTTCAGTATTTTGGTATTGCAGAGTAATGTGTCAATGTATATGATGAGCTATTGGCCTGTAGGGATCAGTAAATAAGCTGATGGGTTATGCTTTGAAATTGTACACAGTCCTGAAATCTTATATTGGTTTTAGAAGAGATTTTAAAACTAAAAAGAACTAACTTTGTGTAGGGCATCATTAATTATGTCTGTCATTTGCAGTGAAATCAATTCTAACAAAAATAAATTTATTTGCTTTGTTATTATAACAGTAATAACAATAATAATATGTTACCCTGCATATTTGTAAACTGCTTAAAGTGAAATATTATAGAAAAGGCCCTATACCTTTATAAATATAGAATTTGCAATTGTCATATAAATTCAGCAGCGCACTTGTTGTTGTTATACTATTTACAACTATGCTAAATATCTAGTTTCCTAGCCAGCTCTAATAATGGTAAAAAACTATTGAAATAATCAAAGTTCCTTGCACTTTATTTCAAGTGCCCGCTATTCCAGATTAATTAATAGATTATTTTCATTACTTTAAATACATACTTAATAACAGAAACATGGACAACACTCTCAGGCACATGGCATGATTCTTGGGGCTGTCCTATGCAGGGCCAGGAGATGGACTTCAGTGATTCTTGTGGGTCCCTTCCAATGCAGGATATTCTATGATTCTGTGGTTGTTCAACTGACATAAGGGATAGGAGACCATTTCTAGATCATTTTAGGAGACTATCTTTGTATGACTCTCAAGTCTATGCTCTTTTTCCTTTTAGTGGTCAATTGTTCTGATCCTGGAATTCCTGCAAATTCTATAAGAGAAAGTAAAATCGAACATGGGAATTTCACATATGGCACAGTGGTATTTTATGACTGTAATCCTGGATATTTTTTATTTGGCTCTTCAGTTTTAATTTGTCAACCAAACGGCCACTGGGACAAACCTCTACCTGAATGTATTAGTAAGTAGATAATGAGTTTGTTTCTACAAGGAATATGGGCTAGACTGGGTACTATTTTACACAGTATTTCCATCAGTCTCAGGACAGCAATTATGATAATCATGTTTTATATACATTTGTGTGTGTGCAGTACTGATGAAAGGTCTCAATAGCAGCTGAACTAGCATTATATTGTTATTGTATGTAGCAAATGGGACATGCAATAGTCAAAACAAACGTCTCTGAATGCTCCAGTGTAATAACCCCTGACAGCAGGAACTCAAGGCCAAAACATGTCTATTAAATTTGCCAATATGTGGCTTCCACTGGTCACAGAGTTCTTATCACACTGAAACCTAAAACCTACAGGATGCAATTATTGATTTATACAGTAATTTCTGGGTTTCTCTTGGGACAATAGTAACATCAGACTATCTATGAAGATACCAAGCAAGGAGTAATAGCACTGTAGAACTCCTAAAGTGTCCTCTGGATGATGCTCTCAGTTTTCCACAATAGCAGATATACCTGAACATCATATTCATATGCAACCTATCCACTAAGGCAAGTGGATCAACACAAATAGGTTCTTTCTATTCTGGCTTGCCTTGAACAACTTTCTAACTGTGACATGGATATAGCCAGAGATGTTTCTTATGTTTTTAATTGACTGGGACAGCTGATTTACCTGGTTCTCTATTAGTCTATGAAAAGGGTTTGGTTTAGGATCAAAGTTTTTCTCTGAGGAAGACTGAAAGCTTTATTTTCAAGAGATTAAAGGGAAAACAGGTTAAGGGTTTCTTATTTGAGAATTATGGACTGATATTTGCAATATTGTAGATATTTGTTCTCAGGAGGCTTCTCTAGTTCTACTCTCTCTAAAAATAAAATGTATGAAACTGTTTTCTTATTACTGCTAAAACTTTCAGTTACGGAACTTTTCCTATCTTTGATGGGATAAATAGTTTGATGGCAAGTCAGAGTTAAACTGAAAAAGAAGTGTCTATTGGTTTCACATTCAATTTAAAGGTAACATTACCATTTCAGAAAGAGAAATGTTATTTTGTGAAATTTTAAGGTAAAGTTGCAAAGATTTCTTCTTTTTACATTTGTATTTTTATGTCTCAATCATTTTTTTTCTGAATTGTTACAAGTAATTTAATGATACAGCTTTTACTCTTATTTTAAACCGAGCTTTAGGAGTAAGAGTGCTATCTGTACTTTTAAAAGGGCATCTTCAGCTTTATTTGTCTTGTTTATTCAAAGAGGTCGATAAATTCTACCTAGGCGCTGCCCATGATGTTTTGTAATCACAAGCTTACCAAAACTTATTCTGTTGCAGCTACTCAATTTTTTTGTAAATTTTCAGCCTCTGGAGTAATTTGCAAATTATTGCTGGAGAGAGACTTTTTACAAGGGCACGTATCGATAACACAAAGAGTAACAGTTTTAAACTAGAAAGGGTCAATTTAGATCATATATAAGGAAGAATTTATTTTTTTCAGTGAGGGCGGTAAAATAGAAAGGAAGAACTTTTTGGAAATAAAATGGAGGATAAGTTAGCATTAGCAGAAAAGAAAAAGAAATACCATCAACTCTTCATATTAAATCCTAGCCTGGAAATACGGATATCAAATTCAAGTTTGTAGAACGCATGAGCAATTTAAGGGTAGCATTAAGGATTTCACTCGCTAGGCTTTGCGAATGAAGATTTGAGAATGGCTCTACCCACGCTTGCTGCAAGCGTGCTGATGGCTAAAAAGGCCAGTGCGAGATAGACAAGTCCATTTGCAGAAGGCACAGCAGAAAGACTCCCCAGGCGATATCGACAAGACGCGATTCTTTCTGCGTTGTCTTTTCTCCTCGCGAGTGATCCTGCGTGTGTTCTCAAAAGCAGCAGCAGCGTTATAGATGGTGTGTCTCCAGGCCTCCCGATTGGAGGCCAGGGTAGACCAATGGTGACGATCAATATGGCCAAGGCTGAGGGATTGTTTCAGGCAGTCCTTGTATCTCCTCTTTGGGGCTCCTTTCTTGCAGCAGCCAGTGGCAAGTTCTCCATAGAGCACGATCTTACGGAGGCAGTAGTCCTGCATCCTGGAGATGTGCCCTGCCCAACACAACTGTGATCTCAGCAGCATGGCCTCAATGCTCGAGACTGCTGCCTGTTCAAGGACAGACGTGTTGGTCACATAATCCATCCAGTGGATGTTTAGAATTATACAGAGGCAGCTCTGATGGAAGCGTTCTAAGAGTCGCAAGTGGTGGCGGTAAATAACTCACAATTCAATAAAAGAGTAGACAAAACAATGGCTCTGTAAAAACTAATTTTTGTACATTTCTTCAGGTGATTATCACACCAAAGTCTTTTATGGAGTTTTCCGAAAGCTCTATATTCCTTTGCTAAGGCTACTATACTTTTTAAAATCAGTTATTAGGGATCCAAGACTTTTAGGTATAAACGTAAACAAAAAAAGGGAAGTATGCATAGAGAAGCCCACAGCTGGAAGCTGTAAGGTACCAGTATGACATTAACTTTTCTTATATGACATCTGAATAGGGCAACAGAATCAATCAAGAACAATATAGATAATAAAATATTTGAAAAACTGTTAATGTTTTTCACAAGAAGAAAAAGTCTCATTTTGTTGAATCCTGCATGATCAACATATCTATGTATTAACATTGTTTGAAGTCTTCATTCTTTGCAAGAAAGACAAATCTCACATGATTTTGGTTATATGCTGTTTTGTAAAATCACTATACTCTTGCCTATGTCTGAAATGCTATGGAATTGAATATATCCTCAACCCTGATCAGGCTTCTGTTCTGGATTTATTTTTTTTTTCTTTAAATAAAAGAAAATAAAATCTTGCTGAAAATAGTATTGAATACCATGAAGTTTTGATAAAAACTACAGCTGTATGATTTAAGGGCCTGTTCTACTACCTCGATATTTACAGCTCTAACTCGTGGGTTTCACGTACATAAACACAAATATCTTTGGCCAAGATAAGCCACATAACATGGACAGGTGTAAGGTAACAAGAAATCAAAGATTCAGGCCTAGATTCCTTCTGTAAACATAGTGAATTTGCTTTATGACTTTTAACTGTGCATTTCCTAAACTTGACATATTTAGTTTGCTTTTATATTAACTCTTTGCTCTCAGTTATTAAGAGAAGTGAATTTCTGCACATTCTCTACCACAGCAGTGACTTGGGCAGATAATGTCTATACATAATTTTTCTCTGGAGTACTAGCATGAATCTATGTTTGTGTGTGTACATGCCATAAAGATCAACTTAGTGAATGAGGAGTTTTGGACATTGATATCTGTATCTAAAATAGCTTTTTTTTGACATTACCAAACTTTTGTTTCACAGTTTTTGATCTGAAGTATATTTTACATTCTAATCCTATGATGTTTCCCCTTTCCCACACACCCTAAAATGTCAAGCCCTTCACAAAGTTTCTGTATGCAGTTCCGAAAATGAAAATTACAAACTCTTTGATCAGTGATAATAACCTTTTTTTATCTCCAATAATTATGCATTGTAGTGATTGACTGTGGACATCCTGGAGTTCCTCCTAATGCGGTCCTGTCTGGTGATAAATACACTTTTGGATCTACTGTCCACTATAGCTGCACAGGCAGACGATCATTGTTAGGGCAGTCATCTCGGACATGTCAGTTAAATGGACACTGGAGTGGATCTCTCCCTCATTGCTCAGGTAATATTTATGAATTAATGGGTATATCCTGAACTTGTTTAAAATTTATTTTGATTTTTTTCAGAAGGTCATTTAAAAATCTAGAAAATCACGTATAGAACTGAAGTATCATCTCAGTATAAGTAGAGAAAGTAAAATCCAATATAAGTATCTGCAAGAAAATAATCTGGAAGAAGTAGGCTTTCTTGGTGACATTTAATATGAAATTTAATGAGAAATTTTACATTCAATAGACTGTGAAAAGAAATGGGTACTTGAAAAATGTCTACTGATTTGGTGACACCTCAGGTGTAACTTGACTGTGTAGTACATTCCTTTGTATAATAAGGGCAAATGATCTCCACATAATTTCAAGATAGGATGCTTGTTTTTTTAGGAAACGCCTAAATCCTTGTAATAGATTAACCCTAACTAAAGTCAAGATATGTTTTCTTAGGAATTATTGCTTAGGAATATTGTGTTTCACGGCTTCAATTTGATTCACTTTAACAGCAGTGATCAAGTGAAAAACGTAAATCCAAGTCACACACTAATTTGGGATTTGGCTAAATCCCATTTATTTTTGTAAAATATATAAACAAATATTGTGATAAATGTTAACCTTGTTATTAGTTTTAATTCTCAGTAAATAGTGGGGGAGGTTCTTTCTTGTCATGCTCATGTTTCATTAGAAATCAAAGAAATCAGTAGGGTTTCTTTAAGTTGCATAATCCAGAGCACTTAGATAAGTTCAATGGAGGAAAAAAATGAGAAAACAAGTGACATGATTTTTCTTGATTACAGCTATGCCAAAACTAGAGGTGAAAAATAAATAGAAGGCAAATCTGACCACTGATATACTAGTTTCACACTAAAAAGCCAAGGTTCTTTGCAGTATTAATAAATAATAGAATCATAGAATGGTTTAGGTCAGAAGAGACCTTTACAAATCATCTAGTCCAGCATAGTAGGGACATTTTCCACTGACTTCATCTAATAGTTTTTATTGGAAGGGATTACCAAAGATCATCTAGTCCACCCTCACTGCGATGACAAGGGCCATATTCACCTAGATCAGATTGCTCAAAGCCCCGTTCAACCTGACCTTGAATACTTGCAGGGATAGGACATCCTAAAGCTCTCCAGGCAACCTGTTCCAGTGTCTCAGAGACCTCATCACAAAAAAAAAATCTTCTTTATGCCCAATCTAAACTTAACCTCTCTTAATTCAGTCTTCTCTTGCTCTGTCACTAGAGACCTTGATAAAAAACACTCTTTATCTTTCTTATATATTTTAGACATTGAAAGGCTACAATAATGTCTTCTAGATGCCTTCCTTCCCTTTTTCAGGTTGAATAGCCCAAATTCTTTCAGCCTTTTTGCATAACAGAGGTGTTCCATCCCTCTGATTATATTTGTGACCTTCCTCTGGACCTGCTCTAACAGGTCCTTGTTCCTGTTGTATAGGGAACTTCAGAAATGGATACAGGAGTCCAGGTGGGAGTCTCACATATTCCAATTCTATCTTTTTTTCCCCTTTCTTCATCTCTTCAGTGTGTTCGGTTATAAACTGAATAAGTCAGCTACAGTTTCAGAGCATGCAATTTTACAGCCCATGGTAGAAATAGTTGAAAATTAATATGAAATATTAAAATAAAACTTCTTGGTTAAAATCTTGCATTAAATTCTAAAGTGTTGAAATAATTTTTCAGTATCTGAACCTTCCTCTGCAAACTCTTAGGATGCTAAAATGTGACAGAACCTAGAAAAATGGAACACATAATTTAATGCCTGAACTTTCTATAAATAAAGCAGAAGGAAATTTGACACAATTAGAACAAAGATCAAGTTCTTATAAGCTTTGATGTTTAGAGCTATGCACTAGAAATCACACCTTAATGTAAAATGATCTCATTTAATAAATATTGATATATTAATGTAATTTGCAAATTTGAACTATGTTAATTAAAAGTGGGTTTACAGTTTACATGCATCAATATTTGTTTTGGAGAAAAACTCTTTAGATAAAATCTAAGGCTACTTATTGTAATTTTCCATGATCTTCATACGAAAAAAAAAATTACAAATCTAAATTGTGAATTACAAAAATAATAAAGAAGTAGACGAAAATATCAAGGAATACAAATAGGAAGCCTGAAAATGTGCATGAAAATATCAATGGAGCCTTACTTAAAATAGGACTATTCTTATAGTAATTCTCCTATTAAGTTAAATAAAGTGTTGAAATATCTTGGGTTAAGCATTTCTAAGTGAGGTGTATTATTTTTTTTTTCTAATGATGGCTTTTTTACCCACAGATAGGAAATTCTAATAAAATCTATTTAATTTTTCTCAATACATGAAGAAACATTTCCTTGACATAGATTTAAATGTTAATCATAATGAATAAAAATGTACAGAATACAAACTCTTATTCTTTTATTTTCCTTAGCTGGAGGGTACCAAACTATAATTCTGGCACAGTACAATTTTGAGATTTTGTTTTCAAATTGTATATCTGAAATGTTTTCTCACTATAAAATAATTTGCGGTTTACCATACAGAACTTCCATATTATACATCTAAAATATGTAAAATCATTTGCTAATGCATATTAAAGCCTTGAACATTTGCATATTTTATAGTATTGATAACAATATAGAATGTTCAACTGAGAAAAGGTACAGCATGCTTGACCTTTTTGTATATGAAAAATAATTCAAATAAAAACTACTAGGTCAGTGAAAATAAGGTAGTCAAATTATTTCACATCAAACCTATGACAGTTTCTGTTTTGCCACATGACATTGAGCTAGAAGGAATTGTCATGTCCCGTTGATATATATTGTCATTCAGACACAGTTTTCAATCATCATGTGCACATCAGGTGGAGTCACAAATTTTCTGCAACGTAGAATTCCTCATAAGTGCAGCAAGGATTTTATACGTACTTAAGTAGTCTAAATATCCTCCATTTCATTAAGATTAAATGCCAGCTAAAAATTTGTTACACATGTGAGTGAAGGATGGCTCATAAATTACTGTAAAAATCACTTAGTTGAGTCTGCATGAGGTAATAAAAATATGTTCTCCTATGATATCATTGATTATATCACTGTCACTTCCTGATATGATTAGTCATTTAGAAAAATTATTTCTGTAACCTTCAATCAAAAGAGCTGGTGGTTAACCTTCCTAGGATTAAAAGTGAAATAATTCACAGTAATAATTAGGCATTAGGAAAGAACACATGATTTCATTTGGAAGAGGAATATGTGATTTCTACTTGGCTTACCAAATAGCCTATTTTAATTTTTTAATCATAAAATTATTTTAGGCATACTGCCAAGTAACTTGTCACAAATTGAACTGTTATTGTGAAGACTTTGCAAGTATAGAATAATGAATAGGCCTTGTTCAAATTTTGTTATAGTCCAAGTAAATAATAATGGCAAATGTAAGATTTGGATTCCCAAAATAACAACAACAAAAAATCTTAATATTTTAAAAAGATGCAGCAGTTTATTTTTAAACAAAATGGGTGTTTGGTTGGACAAAGTATTTTGAAAGTTTATGAAAATTTTTTTTCTTACTATAATTTGAGACTATCTATAATGTCTTTTTAATTGGGTCTGGCAGACTGCTTCACTGATCTGTGCCACATAACAAAATGCATAAACAGAGAACAGCCTGAACTTTTGAGTCTGTGATTTTGAACTAGACAGTTCTTACACTCACCTGAGCTAATCTGCTATTTCTGAAAGCATTAAAATACGTAGTACCATGTACTCCTTGGATTTATTGGACTAAAACAAGTATTTGTCATATACCACACTTATCATAGGCAAGTAATCTAGTTCTACTCTTCTTCTTTTTACTGTTCAGTTCTGTACATACTTTTGTCAGTAAAGAGATGTGTCCAACCCTTCAGTCTCAACAGCATTGGTTACACACATACAGTGCCAACCAAGACAACAGTAGCTCTGTTTTTCCCTTCATGTGCTACTCCAGGCTCCTAACTGCTCACAGAACCCCTAGATAGTGAGTCTTGGTCTTCTGCATACTTGGAGTAGGAAACTTTATTTACTATTTCTATGTAAGATTTTTTCTTATTATTGCTATTTAAACTTAAATAAACACAGAAAAGTATGGCTATTCTACATACCTTAGCCTTTACATAATTTGAGTAATTCTTTCCAGATGATTCTTGAAATATTTCACTTTTATTTATACTACTGTAACTAATTACAAAATAATGCTGACATTCTCACAAAAATACTATTATGTTTTACTTATTTTTTGTATAGAAGACATTTGTTTTATTTGCAAGTTGTTATAGAAAACTGTAATCTATGGGCAAAAACTGAACAGTGCAACTCCGAGAATTCTAGAATTCAACTCTTTAGTATTGAAACTCAGTAATATAATATGCCTCCATCTCTTATGACATAGAAAACTGCCTTAAAGATCTTTAAAAAGCAGAAGATCCTAAGAACATATTAAAGGATTCAAACAATTGATCTGCTGTTCAAATAGTGTGTTACCTAGAGCTTCCTAAAAATTTTCACCATAAATAAAGATTTAGATATATAATCTTATTGATATTCTTGTCTTCTTCTCCTCCTTCTCCTTCTCCTCCTTTTCCTTCTCCTTCTTCTCCTACTCCTCCTTCTCCTTCATCTTCATTACCATGTTGATTATGCTAAGACCTATATACAACAGATAGTTGAAACCAACCCTCTATCTTGGACTTTTCTTAAAGTTTTGTATCTAAGGGATACTATCTAAGGCAGTTTTGAAAGGCATCTTTCACCATTTCTATAAATCAGAGAAATTCTTCAGATCTAGTGTGCATATTGTTGACTAGAACTTTCATTCAGTTGTAAAACTGTTGCATCTCTAATGATTCCATCATAAAACTGTATTAAAAAAGTATAAAAAGTATTTTTTGAACACTAGTTATATGCAAACAAGAAATTTGTCTTTACAATCAAGACCTTGTTTTTCCTCAGAATTCCCCATTATAAATAAAAAAAAAATTAACAAAGTTTTGTGGTTATTTTTTTGTTTCCTTATTCTTGTTTGATTATGTTACCAAAAGTTTAGCATAGTATTAGAGGAATTTGAGATAACTATTTTTTTTCTGTACTTACATAAAATAAAGAAATTAGTTGAGAATTAAGTAATTTTGTAATTACAGGGACTCACTCCCACTGCTATCTATATGGAGGTTTTTTCTAAATATAAACATAATTTTATTTCTAAATACATAGAAGCACCCATTTTAAATCCATAAAATAATGTTATGTTAAATCATAACAACATTTCGTATTATTCAATCTTTGTACTCTAAAATCTAGGTGATACAGCTGGTTCTTGTGGTGATCCAGGTATCCCAGGTCACGGGTCTAGAGAAGAAAACAATTTTAAAATTAAAAGCACAATACGTTTCAGCTGTGATATTGGGTATATCCTCCATGGCTCAGAAGAAAGGACGTGTCTGGCAAATGGAAGTTGGACAGGAAGACAACCTGAGTGCAAAGGTAAATCAAAGAAAATCCATTCTATTTTTAAACTGTATTTTTATTAATGTTAATCAGAAAACCAATTTTACATTGCCAGCTTTGTGTTAGATAAGACTCTAGAACTTAATTTTTTGCTGAAGTATTTTTTCACTTAAGAATCTCCCCAAAGCCTGACCTTTAATCACAAGTATTATACACCTGAATTTTAGATAAAAGAGCTTAGCTTAAGTAAAATATAAGTGTCAGAATTTCATTAGCTACACCTATGTATAAATAATTGGTTTAAAATTTCAATTACTAATACTGTTGACATTATTATTTTTCAATAGAAAACAAAATGCAGAAACAAATTTATTTGTAAAAAATAATTTGAAAATTTAATGGAAGAAGAATTAGCATAAAAGAAAGCTTCAACAGGATATTTATGAAGAATAATTTATTAACTAAATTATCTTGCTTCAAAATAGGAGATAATTCCCAACAGATTATTTTGCAAATAAAAGCTTCCTGAAAAGCAAAAAATAATTTGAGAGCCTGTACTCTTATTTTCCACTTTATCACTGTTGACTTTGTTACCTCTATGAAAGTGTCATGTCATTTTCAAAACATATATCACAAACTGGTTTTGTAATATCCTTTCTGCTGAACAATTGCTGTCCTGACACTACATAGATAAACAAGTAAATAAATACAAATATTATGTATATATATTTATGTTGGTGTTTGAAGGGATATGCTTAGTCCAACTGAACCAACTGCTATTTTTCTTTGATCTCATCTATCACTAGCTAGATTAACTAGCTCTTTTCCATTTTTAAAATACTTTTTTTTTTCTTGAAGTAATAAATATAGTTCACATATATATATAGATATTGGTGATGCATGCAAAAGTATATTGTTCTAGTTTAGATCATATAGATTAGATGTATATCTATGTAATCATATAAGAAAGGCACATTCAAATTCCCAAGTCGAGCATTGAAGAACTGGGGAACATCAGGGTTCCACCTGCCTATGAAATAATATTTGACACCATCCTGCTCTTTGAATTAAAAAAAATATTTTGGTGATGCTAGAAATGCACACATACTGTAGATAAAAATTAAATCTACAATGATAATTGCAGATCAGATGTTTTCTTATAATTGGGAGGGGTTTTTTTGCAGCAGAATTAGCTTTACACTAATGCAGATAATAAAGCTACACTTCTAGGTTATGTTTCCCTGCATACAAAGGGGTAAAAACTAGTAATTCATGCACATAACTATTTACTGTACAACGTGCCTTATCAGTAGGTGGTAAAATGTACATTTTTCAAGGCAACAGTGTGGATTTCCACCATAACACTGCTGGCAGCAGGATTATTCCTGGACATTCTTATTTCAAAAATCACCTTTACTGCATTTTGAAAAATAATGAACATTTTCCTTTATAGCTGTTCAGTGTGGTAATCCAGGAACAACTGCTAATGGAAAAGTACTTCGTATTGATGGAACTACATTCTCTAATTCAGTAATATATTCATGTGTGGAAGGATACATACTTTCTGGATCATCTGTAAGACAATGCACTGCCAATGGAACATGGTCTGGATCCTTGCCAAACTGCACAAGTAAGACACATTTCTAATGAATAGTCTCTGTTTTTCCTCTCCTCTGAAAGCCAATAAAGTAGAATATAGAAGTTGCATGCCAATAAATTAAGTTTTCAGCTTTTCCTTATGCTATTTCCTGCATAATTCTGTATAGGAAATACTTTAAAAAATATAATACTATGCAAGTGTGAAGAATATGTTTTTTAAAGGCGGACACAATATAGTAAAATATATAGACTGTTTCTACAGTTTAAGCAATTGTATGGTTACATGGTCTACCTACTTGAATTCTTTCCTAGTATATATAGTTTTAATCTTGTTTATGTTTTGTGATATGTCATAATCAGATATTTTTATTTTAATTGCTTTACTTCATCTTGAAAACTTAACAATACAATATTCTGGTCTCCCAGAGGGCAGAAAATATAAACCTTACCATGAACACTTGAGAATTATTTTGTAGTGACTCCAAGGTCAAAGCTGTTGTCCTGCTTTCACATATCATCTTCTATTTGACCTCTTCATCAACCTTAAACTTGCTTTGGCTACTCAACTAACAGAAGCTATTTCAGCATCTCTCACATTCATAATAAGCATTTTGCAACACTTTATTTTCAAGCCCATCTGTTCCTGCTTTATTACATGTCCTAGTTCATCTTTTAGTAACAATTATGAAAATTTTACATTTATATGACGCATGAGACTGCCTATCATTTTGAGGAAACTATCCTCATCAGAAGTATAGCAAACTCTTGTTTAAATTTTGAACATACTTATAGCAACCCAAATAGAGGCAAAAATTTAGATGATAAAACTTCTTGTGCTATTTTTAAATCAGTCTTTATTGGTAAGCATGTGAACAGCTATTTTTGCAGTCATCAAACCTGTTTTTGTTTATTTATTATTTTCCTAATTATAATGAGAATCAGATTAATTGTACTGAGGATAAAGATGTTTTGTGATGTCAACTGCATCTATATTTTTTCTTTTATTTTAGAATAGCATTTTACTGAAATAAATCCCAGAAAAGTCTTCTCAAAACACACTGCTCAGGTAGAAACATGAGATTTTTTTCTTAAAACCTAGAAGAATATCTTAATAGAGGAAGTATCCTAATAAAACACAGGGAAGGAAATTCAGGATATGTCAATTTTGTTTAGTTCAGGTGTTATCAAAATTTACAACCAGTTCATACTTATTACAGCTGCTTCTTGCATATCATTGAAAATGCTGGGGTTTAGAGCTAACGCTACAAGAAGAGAACAGCGCAGATCATCTTACACCCTTTAGATGCTGGGAGCCCTGGGCAGTGTACGGTTGAACAAGACTGCCCCATGTGCAACATGTCATGCAGACCTATAGCAAAGATTCTCCCCTTTCAACTCTGCAAGTTATTATAGGATTTTCTTAGGAAGAGACAACAATATCATTTGTACAGTCAAACAGAAACAATGTTCTCATAAGAGCTTCTGTGATGGTTTTAGTCTAGGCCTTCCTGGTGACCAGTTTGTAACCAAGGAAGTAGCCAAGTACCCAGTATTCCATACAATTTTTACGTAAACCAGAGTATACATAAGTCGGAGATTAGAGACCTCGCTCTCTTCTCTTCCGGCGAGGTTTGGGAACAGTGGGTCCCACTTATCTAAGTGGGTTCCACTTATCTAAGGCTGAAACATGCAGAGTTCACTGTCCTGCCACGTGGAGGTTTGGAGAGTGCTGGCCGTGCTTGCCAATCCTACTGTTCTAAGGGACGTGGTGAGAACTGTTTTGTTAGTTATCAGTATAGTTCTTGAGTTTGATCTAGTATACCTGTTCGGTGTCCCTTTTGTTCCCTTTTGTTCCCTTTCGTCCCCTTTTTTCCCTTTCCCTATCCCTTAAAACTCTGTCTAAACCTGCTTCACCCTTCGGGGGGTGGATCCCCTTTTACTGTGTATATAGCATCTTAACTGTACATAACTGTAATTTACATAAATATAGATATATTTTTACATAAGCAGCTTGACTTTAGGTTCTTTAATTTTTATAGTTTCTTTTCCTTTAACCTAAGGGAAGAAAGGAGGGGGGAAGGGGGCTGCTGTCGTAACTTTCGGGCATTTGGCAGGGAGCCAGGTCCAAACCGTCACAGCTTCTTATTGCACTGCTAAATAAAAACCAAGGACATTCAGTCAGCAAGGTGTAATTGTGGAGTGTGGGCTCCACAACAGAGTGCAGCAACTCTGTTGCCATGAGCTGTCTGAGGTTGTGCCCTGGACAAGAGATCTATGTGGCTCAGGTCTGAAGGCCACACTGGATGTTCAGCAGTGTGGGGCAGCACATGCCTGGGGTTCCCCAGCTTACACGTTGTGGTTCATTGACTCATCAGTGTGCAATGGTCTTCTGGTCAGGATCACAACAACAATTTAAGCTGCTTTTTGCCTACCATAGTGACCTAAGTGGAGGTAATCCAAATGAAATGGAACAAAGATTAGAGGAAAAACCTGGCCAGAATACAACACAAATATGTAGTCATGGATTTTTGTGATTTTGGAGAGCAAGATACAGAGAGGGTACCACTCACATACATCATGCTTTGGCATTGACTTAAAAGTGGACAGGATATGCTTTCTGCCCAGGAAACTGCCTCCCACAGTTTTGCAGGAGTAATAGCAAAGCTGTAAGGGTATTGTCAAGTTTACTATAAAATAAAAAAATAAACCGCAAAACACATGGACTACTACATTTTGTATGAACTAGATTTTTTTCTCCCCCCACCCTTTTTTTTCATTTTTCCCTGAAAACAACCACTTTTTATCGTTGCCACTAGTATTCTCAAGATTTCTTACTCCGAAAACAGAAGTTGATTGATCCAATTGACCAGATCTGTAAGAACCTTACCTGTTTTAACACTATTTTCAGATTACAATGATATAAAACTCTTTATTAACTCCTTAGGAATATTTTGCTTCATTAGGAGATTACCTCCTGACACTAGAAGTCACAAGAGGTTTTACAACCACTCCTACTCATTAAAGTACCATAGATCTAGTTCTTACGTAAGCCACAGTCCATGTTTGGGGGTTGCCTGAATATTCTCATCTGTTTATGTACATAACAACCATGTGAGCATTTATGAAGCTTTTGCAGACATGTATCTCAATTTTTCCAGATTGTGTTTTCTTTCAGAATGTATCCATGGAAAAGTAAACTAAATAATAGGTATCTGCTTTTTTAATAATGAAACTGACCTGATAGGAAAATTTTAGGGTATCAAAGGGTGGCAGTGTCATATGGATAATTTCTTGCCTTTTTTTTTTTTTTTTCATTTTGTAATCTTGAAATTTTGTTGAAAAAACTGTACAGTCCTTTAGTTCTACTGTGAAACAAAAGTGTTTGTGTTCTCCAAATATAACTGTTACACAGCTCTATATGTGTTTGGCAGCTAATTAAAATTACATATATCCTTATCTTCTCTTGTTGGAGATAGGATTTGTGATGCTTTTTTCTTCTTCTTTTCTCCAGTAAATACCTAGTTTTGTCCTATGCTTTCCCCCTCATTCATAGATAAATCATAAAAATTTAGATTTTAAAATGTGTTCCTCAACTATTTTCTTGCAGTTATCAGTTGTGGAGATCCAGGAGTCCCAGCCAACGGCATGAGATATGGTGATGATTATGTTGTTGGACAAAATGTTACTTATATGTGCCAACCTGGTTACACAATGGAAGCAAATAGTTCCTTAATTCGCACTTGTACTAGCAATGGCACATGGAGTGGAATAATCCCAACATGCAAAGGTACAACACCTATTTTGCTTGTCAGCTATTTCTTCTATTACATTTACATATACTGTTGATTATAAATTCTTAATTTATTGGGTATTTCCAGAGAAATCAAAACTTACTCTAAAACACTTTATTTTTTTGCTGCTAAACTTAATTATCCAATATGAAATGATGGTTTATAAAGTTAATATGTCATATAAGAATAACTTTTTATATGTTCCTGCATTACAAAAATAACACTCAAGCATGTGAAAGACACCTTTGGGAAAGGTCTGCGTATATACAAATTGAACTTTATCAAAGGCAAATTGTTCTGAGCTACCCTGTCTATAATACTAAGATTTTCCATTGATCCCTCCTTTATTAGATGGGCACCTTTAAGCATCACCATGCTACAAAAAGACTAAACCCTTCTAGCAAATTTCACAATAAAGATTTTTCTCCTTCGTGTTACTTTCTCTATTGTGAAAACTGAAAGGATTAATTTCAAGATATTTTTTTCTCTCTTCTAATTGCATACCTGCTTTTTCTCTTTGTTGTTTGCTTTTTTGTTTTGTTTAATGTACCCTGTTGAAATTTAAACAGCAAAAATTCTGAATATTACTGAAAGACGAACTTGTCTGTCTCAAAAAATATTTTAGCTGAGAAACCCACTTGCTAAACCCTAAACCAACTTCTCTCTAGAGTAATTTTTCTCACTCTTCCTGATACTGCAGCTGTAGAGAAGCAGCATTACCACTGTTGTGTTTTCTTTCTGTGTTCACACTAAGCATGTCTGATCTCTATTCTTTCAAAACTTAGTTACGTTTATGTCTATTTTGTTCTTATCCATCTTCCTTCTGTTTCATTTTCAGGAAGCATAGTAACATACCTGTTCAGCAATTCTCATTTTCCTCCCCTGAATTAATTCATTAGAATAAATTAATTTCAAATCTTTACCCCATTTGCAATTACTTTTTTCCTGCTGAGTGCAATCCCCCCAGTATCTTACCAAGTACAGTGTAATGTTAATTCACCTTTGATAATATCAATTTTTAAAGTTATTTTCCTGACACATTCTGGCGGACATCAAACTTTGAGATCCTCTTAACATTACACATTTCTTCTTTTTTTATTTGCACTGTGCTCTTAGCCAGCCTGTTTCAATTAATATTTATTTTAAGAATAGAAGAACAGCTATAGTGGTACTATTGACCAAGAGTCTGTCTGCCTCTAAGAGTGGCTGTAAGTGAACAGCTAGAAGATCATAAGACTGAAAAAGTATTTATGATATAGTCTCCCATCCTCAAATTCTTAAGGTCTACAGGGCACCTAAGTGGGAGCAGGAGACCTAACTGTGATTGGATTCAAACAGAACCATACAAAGAAAGAGTAATACTGTCAGTTTTAACTTTGATTTTTTGAGTCTTTATGATTTTGCATCACACATACTTAAGGCTTCTATAAGTACTAAATAATAACCATAAAAAGAATTTCTAGTGTTCTTGGAATTTCATTCTACTTGTTTGTATGAGTACACTAGATAAGTTAATAGGGTAATTAAAAGTAATATATCATATACAGTAATGTGTTTGAAATGTATAACAATTAGTTCTTACTGTCAGAATGAAGTGCCAGAGTCCTTTGGTACCATTTAGTTAAAATAATTGGAAAATGAACTGGGCAGAAAATGGATGTGTAATTGTCTCTGTGCCATTGAAAGAGAAGATATAAATAACTTTCTGCTATGCCTAGTTGGAAAAGGACGCATGTTCATCTACAACTGAACATTCAAATATTCAAGCATTGTCTTTTTTGCAGACTTGCATTTGTAATATACTTGTAGTTCTTAAACTGAGAAACATTGCTGTACATATTTATGCCTAACTCTCTGACCAAAACAGGGAGGCATTCTGGCTTATTGCTGGGTGCTTTTTTGTTTTGCTTTTCTCACCCCAAAATTCTGGTGTTGCACCTGTTTTCATGCTGCTTCTTCTCTCCCTTTTCTCAATTAATCACTGGTATTCCCTCCTTTATTAATCACCACAGAAGTTAAAACTATAAAAGACTCCTATACAAGGACTATTGATGAAGCTCTTGTAGAATGAGGACAGAGTTCTGCTTCTTGGAGTACTTATTTTGATGTACATTTATTAAAACATCATAAAAGTGAGGAAAAAGCTATCATGTCCTTTTCTGGGACAAAATCAAGGCCTCAAAGTGTAGATTCATTTTACTGGTTGGTAAAGGGTTATTTGGTAACGGTACTACATACATCCAGCATTCTCAAACAGCTATAAATGGTGTTGAAGAGTACCTTTATGGTTCATATGGTTGAGATTCTCTCACTGAAGAGTATAAGAATGGAGAAATTGTACATAGTGAACTGTCTGCAGATCACATTCAAATACACAATACTCCTAAACTAGTGCCTCTAACTTCTTTGAGCTCGCAAGATGATAGCTGTCTAAACATAAGTTTAAAGGTTATGGGTGCAGTATTTAACTTCCTCCATCCATTTTTAATCACCACATCTCATTTATTCCACTAAATTAAATCAAATTAGTTTTATTTCCTTTCTTTCTCTTTTGGCAGAACAGTTTCTCCAAACTTTCTCCGTGTTACCGTGGTTTTCTACCTGATTCATTCTAGAAACTTGGTCTAAATTTTGTCCTTTCTCTTTTTGATTCAGAGTCTCTTTAATTTAATTTCATTAATACCTCTTTCCTTTCAGCTTTTAATTAACAATTGTCTTTTATTACACCATTATCCAGTGAATATCACTTTTATCTTCATCACAACAGTTACATCTCTTTATTTCTACTGTCCTCCTGCTGTTTTTCAGTCCTCTTCCCTACAACGGAGTAAAAGATGTATCTTTCTTTCCCGTGAGGCCTGGAAATTAGAAACTATACTGAAATACTTCTTGTTAGCCTTCTTAGAGGTAGCAACACTATCAGTTTCAAGGGGTTGCAAATTCTTATGTTTTCTTGCTCTAGCTAGAAGCTAGATGGTTTTTGGTGAGATGCTACTCACAAAGCAATTACTAACTAAACTCTGGTTATTAGAAACAAGCTTTCAAGCATTATCTTGGAAAAGTTGTCCTGGAGTTTCATCCCTGAGCATTAATGCCTAAGCAAATGCCTAAGCAAATGCCTAGCAAATGCCTAAGATATTTAACAAGAAGATAATATTTGATTATTACCACACTAATAAAAGATACTCCGTATTTTACTCCAATTGTACTCCAACAGGCAAACAAAATAATTTTGTACTTTACTACCAGGCGTATCTTAAATGTTGTACATGGTCGTAATTTCCATACTGATTTTTAGATAGACTTCCTATTTGATTTGATGCAGCATCTTGGTTTGTTTAAGACACTCCATCAATCATCCACTGTCTCCTAAGTGGAGGAAACAAGAAGTACTAACTTCAGGAAATGTGGCAAGAATACAGTGAGGAAGATAGCATGTCCTGACTGTATTGTCCTCTAAAAAAAGGTGAAATTAGCCCATATGGTTCTTCTAGTAATTGTGTACACCAGGGATATTTACAGCAGCTGGGCCTAATTATTTTGAATATTATTGCAGCTGTTACCTGCCCAACTCCTCCGCAGATCTCTAATGGAAGGTTGGAAGGAACAAACTTGGACTGGGGATTTAGCATTAGCTACGTCTGCTCTCCAGGATATGAACTCTCTTTTCCTGCTGTTTTGACTTGTGTTGGGAATGGAACATGGAGTGGTGAAGTGCCTCAGTGTTTACGTAAGTATTTGCTTTATAGTCCTGTATTTTGCTATTCAAAGATAATGTTTTTAAAATTTTCTTTTTTTTTTTTTTTCTTTTTTCTCAGTCGTTTCTCACCCCTCCTTCCTGCAGTGGCTCAATTAATTTCAAACCCGGACAAATACAATCCTTCCAAAAATTCCTAAAATTCCTACAGTTTTCAAAAATTATAATGTAAATAGTAGACTGAGGAAGTCATAGGAATATTTGTAAATCCTATGTGTGCCTGTAGGAGTCCTCAGACACAAACTCACACAAAAAAATGTTATTGGCAATGCATACAACATGATCTACGGCAATACAAGATTAAGAGGTGCTGTCTTATTTTCAGATCCAATACATATAGAATAGAATAACTTTCACTATAATCTCTTTTATTTCCTCATTACTCATCCTAAATTTTCTGTGATGTCACAGAGAAATTTGTCTGCCTGTAATGTTGACTAGGCCCCAGGGAGATTCTGTGAGAATTGTCAGGTTTTCCCCCTACACTAAATTAAGTTAAATATTTTATGCAGTAAATTTTGTTAATCTGAAAGTTATAACATTGATGGATTTTTATATTGCTACAAATTTCATTACAGAAGCAAATTACACTCATTATTTAAAAAATCTTTTTAAAGTAACTGTAATTTTTCTGAGATATTCAGTTGATTGCACTGAAGAAGGAGGTTCTGTAGTTATTTGTAGAATAGCTATACTGCCTTGTAATGGTATTGAGAAAGGAGTCTAACCTGAAAAGATAATATCATATTCTTGCCTTTACAGTTTCTGCAGTTTAATTCAAACTTGCCAAGTGGCTGAGCTTGCCAGGTAGCTTGCTAAATGTCGCAAAATACATTTCTCTATTCTTTTATTATTTTTTGCATTTTTAATCTCTCCCTTTCAAAAATGTTCTCTGTTTTGGCTCTATCCTTCTACCATAAAAGCATATCGTATAGATCTTCTTTCCTTTTTCTTTTTTTCCCAATTACATTGCCATATAATCGACAACAGTTTCTTAGTGCTGCTGAAACTTTATGGACCAATGGTGGAACATGATAAAAGGCTTTGTTTCTTGTAAGAAAAAAACCCTACCATTTGTTGCTTAAGTTCTCTGTGTGGAGCTCCTTTAGAGTCCACTGTATTATGAACAACGGAGACCATGACAAATCATTTTCATCATTTTTTCTTGATTGAAATATGGTGCTCTTTATTCATTTTTGGATACCACAAGCTAATTGTCATTTTTGAGGTTGGAATACTCAATACTGCAATATACTCTGAAAAAGTAGGCTCCACGTTTAAACTTTTAATAGGTAAACTTACCATGGGATGCAGCTGCTTGGGACTTAAAGGCTGTTTCATGCAGAGATTACATTAACTGAATGTTGTTGATGTGCAATGGTTACCCATTGGCTTGCACAAGAAAACAATTGGCAGCCTGTACTTGTCAAAGAGCTTAAGCTAGCTGCCATCTGGCCGAAATGAGAGGGAGCTGGTGAAAGTCATTTTCAATGAGCAATCTTTAAGCAGTTCTTGACATCCGAAATTTAGTTCCCAGCTTGGTTCCTTAGAGCCTATAGCTGAAGATATGCAATGTCTAGTTATAACACGGAATAATTATCCAGAATGGAATATGGTCATGCCCCCGATTGAGTATTTGTCATCTATGACCCTGTAAATCTGTCTGCTTAATTACTCATTCCAGGAAAGTCCTAACTAGAGACATAACTTAGAATCATAGGGCTATCATGGAATCATATAATATAATGAATTGGAAGGGACCCACAAAGATCATCCAAGTCCAACTCCTGGCCCTGCACAGAACAACCCCAAGAATCACATCATGTGCCTGAAAGCATTGTCTGAATGTTTCTTGAATTCTGGCAGTCTTGGTGCCGTGCCTGGCTGGGGAGCCCATAGACCATGAGATTAGTTTAGTTGGTTAGAGCATAGCGGTGATAACACCAAGGTCATGGGTTCAGTCCCTGTATGGGACTGAATTCATTTAAGAGTTGGACTCACTGATCCTTGTGGGTCCCTTCCAGCTTAGAATATTCTGTGAAGTCTGTGAAGTTCCAGTGCGTGACCACCCTCTGGGTGAAGAATCTTGATATATGACCTAAACCTCCCCAATACATCTTCATGGCATTCCCTCGTGGTCCTTGCACCCTGTCACTGTCTCACCAGTGAGGAGAGATCTGTGCCTGCCCGTCCTCTTCTCCTGAAGAAGAGACTTTAGACCATGATGTGGTCTTGCCACAGTCTCTCCTCCTTTAGGCTGAACAGACCAAGTGACCTTGGCCACTCTTTGTATGGCTTCCCCTCAGGGCCCTTCACCATCTTCCTGGCCCTCCTTTGAACACACTAATAGCCTAATATCCTTCTTATATTGTGGAGCCCAAAACTGCACTCAGTACTCAAGGTGAGGCTGCACCAGTGCAGAGTCAAGTCAGACAATCACCTCCTTTGACAATTGCTCTAAGGCCCTGAAATCTCTTTTGATCACCACTGGACTTCTCTTTGCTACCTCATCCCTGTGGATTTGAAGAACAGCAGATACTAATCAGAGGGCTGTACCAAACTAGAGAGTTTTCTTTCTAGAGAGTCCCTTACCCAGACCCCAGAGAGGCAGCAGGCTTCCCTATGGGTTAGGTCTGGTTGGCATATTGGGCCCTTGGTTTCACCTCAGAAGGGAGTCACTTACAGAAATTACCCTTTTTTTTTATTTGACAGAGGTGGTCATGATGTGGAGGGTAGGCTATCTTGCCCTAGATGACCCTTCCAATCCAAGAAAGAAGTTCATCTGCATCTTCACTTCTCAGTCCATCCAGTTCCAGGGCCTCATATCTGTTCTATAAGGGCAGCTGGGAAGATGAGGCAGGCTGGAAGGCAATTTGCATGCCCCCCTTAGTAGGAGTTAACCTACTTCCATTTCCCCTCATCTCTTCAGCTCTCTCCTTCTGCCTGGTGGTAAGAGGGCAGGGGATCCTTTCTTTCTTCTGTCATGGCTGGCTGGTATGTCCATCTCAGGGATGGTAGAATATGAGGACACCAGTCCATCTCCTTGTCTGATGCTCATCAGCCTGAAAGCCTCCTCATGAAATTCTGCCACCGTACTGAGCAGCTCTTCTACCTGGGCACATCTGCCTGCAGATGCTTTCACTGCTGCCATCAGACACTGATAGGAAATGTGCTATTAATCAGTTACATTTCTTTTAAGAATGAAACTAGCCTCCCAGTCTCAGTGCCAGAGCTCCATGGTCCTGCTCTGTTAAAGGCTCTCAGAGTACTTACGAAAATATTTTCACTGGTAGTGGAAGCACTGACAGAGCTTCCAGTTTGCTGCACCTTTATTTTGTTCAGTAGTCTCCTGTTCCAGTATCAGAGGAAGACGGCTGTGTTTTACCATGATGCCTGGTTTCCACAGTTACCTATATAAAAGGCACATATTCAGTAGTTATTCAATGAATTGGTAAAGTTGACTGACAACTCAATGGTGGAGTTTACCTAGTTTTAGAAAAAATGAATAAATTTACCAATCCCCCATTTTTGAATGGGAGAATTTTTTCCCTTCAGAGCTGCTACTTCATTGATGCAAAGAACTGTTTAGGGGACAATTTCAAACCACTGTGTTAAAAATTTATAAGTGTTTCATGTATTTTCAAATTAAGACAGAATTTTCTAGTGAAAGCATAGTGCAACTATTATCTGTCATTCACACAACAAGGTACAAGTTGTACACCAAAGCTTGCCTTTCAGTGAAGGATGAGGAATTAAGACTTCATGATTACTAAAATCTATCTTACAAATATTTTAATCATACAAGAATATTCAGCACTGGGTAGATGGCAGAAAGGAGAAGGGGAGGAGAGGTTGAGAAAGCTTTGTATAATCTCTGATTGCTCTCTGCAGATTGGTGAATTGATGTGGTTTGTGACAGAGGTGAATTGTGGATCTTTGGGCATTAATAAAATAAGTTGTCGATTTGTTTATAAAACTTCAGGTACTGACCAAGCCTACTATGAAGGCATTTTGAAGAATTAGCAAACCTACCGCAATCAGGCAGACCAAAGATTGGCTATCTAGTCTCTCTGAATTCCTGTGAAGTGTTTCCATATTTGATCTGTGTTTAATAAAATAAATATAAAATTTGGAGTAATTGTTTGACTGTGTTCAGCTGAATATTAATTTTATGAATTTTAATTAATGACACATTCCATTTCTATCATATCTTTTTTCACAGCAAAGTTTTGTGGTGACCCTGGAGTACCAGCTCAAGGGAAAAGAGAAGGCAAAAGCTTCATCTATCAGTCAGAGGTCTCTTTCAGCTGCAATCCTCCTTTTGTTTTGGTTGGCTCCAGCACTAGGATTTGCCAAGCAGATGGCACATGGAGTGGGTCTTCTCCTCGATGTATAGGTACGGTTATATTCATGTATTGAAGTGCTTATTTTTCCTTTTCCAGATAAGGAGCTCAATCTACGAGTTTTCAGTTATTTTGAACTAATCTGTAGTTATTTTGTACTCTGTAAGAATCAAGTAATTTTATTTTTGTCTCTATGTTGGCTAATTGCGTGTTGTTGAACAAGGTTAATGTAATGGTACATTCATGTATTTAATTAAAATGCTGTAATTTGTTTTGCCTTTAATGTGTTGTAATTTTTTTTTAAGAACCTACTCGCACAGCATGTGAAAATCCAGGAGTCCCAAGACATGGGTCACAAAACAACACATTTGGCTATCAGGTAGAGTATACTATTTCTTATTAACTTCCATATTAAATAACTTTTATACTACTTCAAAGTCTAGCAGCTTCTGGTTATAGATTCCAAAACTTCTTGTGTAAGAGCGCTTTGCTGCAGTGTTGCTGTTTCCTAATTTCTAGCTGTTGTATTACACTGACCTTGGGTCCATATTAGCAATGTGCTACATGAAAAACTGGTGATCAAATTCTGCTTGAAGCCTTGAAGGCTTTCAGTATCTTGTGCCAATATATATAAGTACTCCCTAAAATTTATCAGTTAGGCTTTTTCTGCTTAAAAGTGTGTATATTGTGTGCCAAATTGCTAATGCAGACCTACTCTAAAGAGCAGGATTTTTATTTTCCTGAGAACAGTTGTGTTGATACGCTGTTTTTGGAACCACAAATGAATTACAGAGTCATGGAGGCTGTTGGACACCTCTGGAGAGCTCCTAGTCCAACCCTCCTCCTCAAAGCAGGATCAGCTAGAACAAGTTTATCAGGACTGTGTCCTGGTGGTTTTGAATATTTCCAAATATGGAAACTAGACAGTGTTTCTGGGCAATTTGTTCCAAGTTAATCCCTCTTAGAGTGAAAATAAACACTTTTTTCCTTAAAGAGAATTTCCTGTGTTTCAATTTCTACTTATTTCCTTATTTCCTGTCACTGGGCACCACTGAAGAAAAGTCTGTTGCCTGTGCTGCCCCCCGGTTTTTTTACAGGCTGGATAACACCAGGTCTTTCAGCTAATCGTTGTATTCCAGATGCTCTAGTCCCTTAATCACCTTTGTGACCCATCACTAGGCTCAATATAGTAGTGACCATGTGTCTCTGGCACTGGCGAGCCCAGCAATGGACCCAGCACTCATTTGTGTGTCACCAGGGCTGAGCAGAGACGAAGAAGCACTTTCCTTGACCTGTTGTCAGTGCTCTTCCTGATGCATTCCAGGAGGCTGTCGGCTACGTTTTCTACAAGGCTGTGTTGAGGCAAATGGTGTTTGCATATGTTTCTGTTGGAAAAAGAATTGTAAAATTGAAAATGATTTTGAACTTCTTATTTTCTGAATCACACAAAACAGTCATGTCAGTGGGGCATTTTCATGAGTGAATGGTTTACAGATGCAAAACTGCACTCTATAATTTGCTAGGAATCTTGCAAATAAAGCTTGTCTAGTAGCAGGAGAACAAAATCTGCAGATTGCTAGAAATGCAAGAAAGGATTGAGTGAAATGTAAACAAATTTTAAAAATGTAACTAGTTTTTAAAAGCAAGGATTGTAGCTAAAGACTTTTTAAAGTTTCATGGCTAAAAATTTCTTTGGTTTATACTTTTGGTGGCCATTATGCAGTACTACTCCTGTTAGGTGATTATTTTAGCAATATTTGGGTTTTCAGATTGTGCTAGATCACAATCATATGCAAGTGAAAATAAATTTTCTCAGTTTTCTCTAGGGACTGCGGTGCTGTTTCATGCCAAGATAGAATATGCAGGAATAGTTTAAGGTTAACTTCCTTTGGTTATAATACAATATTATGCTGGAGGGCAACTCTTTATTCAACTATGTAACAAATAAATCATTGTGATGACTATTTTCTATGATTTTATCGTCACAGTTTTTCTTGCATATTAATGAACTTTCTCTCCTTGAGGAAGCTAATGCAGTCTTTCTCATTTGTGGTGTAGTTGTAGTTGTGAGTAAAAGCATCTCTCGCAGCTAGCATGGAACTGTCAAAATATCAGGCAAAATGTCAATTGACAAATCCTTTCTGAAAGAAGTGTACCTCCTGGCAGGATTTACAACCTTGTAAATTCTTTAAAAAAAAAAAAAATTGTAAACAGCTGTAAGGTTAGTGCCTGGCATATTTAAGCTCTATGAGCTATAGTCTCCTTATCTAGCCAGCAACTTTTCCTCACACTCACATGTAGTAACTAAACCTGCAGTTTCTGGTTCTCTAAGTATGATTGCTTAGTTAATACAGAGTGGGATATAAGTATCATTCATATAGATGAAGCTGTGAACCAACACTGAAAATGATTGCTTCTAGACAGGTTATTGTCCATAGATCCTGGAAAGAAATATCGCATTATCATGTATACTAAAGTGTTATGACTCATTTAAACCACAAAAATATTACAAATGAATTTATAATATGCTATAATTAACTTCTTGCCTGAATGGGATAATAGTGACTTTTGCTTTTATGCATAGCAGAATAATCCTAAACTGTTCTGAAATATGAAAGATAAGGTGGCTTTGATTTTAATTTGTCTGATAGATCCAATTATCTACTATTTAAAACAATAGACCAAAAGAACTTACACAAAATTAAACAAAACGTTGCTTTTGCATTTGGCAAATGCATAATAAGAAGTTGTTATTGCTGAATATGTGATAGTTTTCTGACCAACACAGGGAGAGGGCTTTTTGCATTTGTTTTTTATTTGGTGTTGTTTGTTTGGTTTGGTTTCTTTTTGTTTGTTCGTTTTGACTCTCTTAAGTACTTCATGTTTCAACTAATATTAATAGGGTCACTTAAATGACTTAATTGTCAAAGTTTAAGTTTATGCTTCTATCCCATTAAAAAAAAGTCAAGCTTTGAAAGTTCAGGCAAACATGACATGATTCTCGGCTTGACTTAAAGGTGTATCTAAACCTGGTCTCCTGGAACTTACACTAACAAAGGCACATATCACCATCTCACATTTGAATAGTGTTTCAACTATTAAATAAGAATTTTGCAGAAAAAGAGGCAACAGAATTTTGTATGGATTTTATTGTTCAGTGTCGAATTCTTCGGGCAGAAGCAGATCAGGTTCCTGTGTGTTCAAATGACATCAAAATACCAGTTTAGTGCTCCTTGAATATGGGGCATATCATATAAATCAGTAGCATTACCTGCTTTAATTGTTACTTCTAGGATCTTCCATCTGAGCATTTTTTATTTGACGGATCTACCTTAACAGTGTGTTACAATGGAGGCAAAATACCTTTAGAACTTAGTGAATACTGACTTCAATTGTAATCTGGAAAATAAATTGCTCTTTGGAAAGAAACTGTTGGTTTTGAAATATTTCTTATGTTATATTGCTAGTAACATAGAAAATTGCTTATAGCACTGTCACCATGAGCTATTGTAACACAAGATACTACTGAACTGAAGAAGTTTAGGACTGCTTAGAGCAGTCAGTCAAATATGTGAAATTTATTTCTTCTCATACTTTTCCAATATATATTTTTGTAGAAATTCAGCTATTTTCCCCTTCATTAAGGCCTAAATAGAGCAAAAAGGCTGTCTGAATTTAGAAAGGAAAATAGACACATTACAGTAGTGGTAGCCCTGTACTACCTCTTGGTTTCTATTTATGAAATGCTATATGAAACTTGGTCTGCAGATGTTTAGCAACCTTGCAACTAATCTCCTTCTGTTAATGTAATGCTTATAAAACCTTCAGTGTTGTGTGAATTGTAGGATAAAATTCTAAGAGAAGCACTCTTCTACTACAGCATAACTGTCTCCATTAGCAGAGTTGGAACCATCACTGAGCAATGAAAATGTAATTTAAGCCTTATCAGACACCATGTAATTTTCTTGGTTTCTTCTGTTGCTCATGGTCCTGAGGTCTCTCTGAGGTGTCAGTGAGGTCTCTCCTGAGGTGTCAGTGAGGGATGTTAATGTCAGTCTGGAGTGCTTCACTGGAAAGAACACCACTCACACTACAACCCCACACTATATTTCAATCTACACAATAAGGTTAAATACTTGTTCTTTTTTTGCTCCTGAAACCTGATTCTGTCCATCAATCACAGGTGAGTTGTTCACAGCAATGGGTTCTCCAGGGCCAAGCTCATGTTGCATCTCTTTTCGTAGTCACACCTGTAGTCTTCTTCACAGCATCCCTTTGTCTCTATTCCTCAAGAGCTTTGCAATCATTCCAGCACCAGGCCTGTATTTCTCTGTACCGTATCACATTAGTGGGAAATAGCTCATTCTGCCCGTAGTAGATTCTTTTTTTACTGCTATGAATAGCAGTAAAACTGTGGTCATACCATACAAAGAACTAGAAAAGCATAAAACTAGTCATAGCCACATGATCAGAGTAAAATTGGGTTTTACAGCTAAATTGAGTTTAAAAAAAAAACACACAAAAAACCCCCAAAAAAACCAAACCAAAAAACAAACAAACAAACAAACAAACAAAACCAAGCCAAACCCAAATACAAAATTCCAGGCTGATCAAGACAAAGGAAGCCTGGCAAGCCTCTGCTCAGAAGTCTTGGTAACTCAAAACCCTGTAACTAATAATGGCAATTATCTATTACTGGATTACCAAACTATGGATATAACAAAGATTTAATGAGGTGTGTTTTCATTCACTTAAAATGTGATGCTAAAAGTTAGTGAATAGAAATAACTGACATGCCTTTAGCTTCTCAATCCTTTGGCATGAATTGCTGAGGTTGAAGAAGTTTATTAGGGTTCCTTTATATTCCCTGGTAAACTGAAATCTAAGAAAAACCTTCATTGGAGAGTAATTCATAACAGTTAAGAAGTATCTTCTATTCCTATAAGGCATATAAGAAATAATAGGATAATAGCTTATTATTATTGTTTTGGTAATTCTTATACATTATTATGATATTATTTCGTGAAAAAAAAATCTGGGATACTTTATAACCAGATATTTATACAGGTTGATATTTATGCAGTTTCTTCTCAGACTGCTATTTCTTCTGTTCAAGAATAAAAAATATATGGTCTTTGGGTTTTAGCAAAAAAAAAAAAAATGTTAGCAACGTTGATTTGTGGAATATACAAATCATAACTGACACTACAGGAAAAACTATGGAACAGACAGGATCAAGTGTTATGCAAGGAAATATTTTTTTTTCAAGGTTGGATACAAACACTATTGCATGTAGAACAGTTCTTCCCTAAAACCAGAGTACTAGTGCTTCTATTCAAGCTGTAGAACAAAAAATTAAAACAAATCAGAAAATCTCGACTGGGAATTTTTTAAGGGCATAGAATCCTGTATTGTAGCGCCACCTGGTGCCTCTGACATAAAAATATTGCAAAACAGACAATGAAATATTTTAAAATTACTTTGTTTAATAATTATTATGCATAAACTGTATAGTTAATATATTATATTAATTATTGCATATTGTATGCATTTTTTTCTTATTCATTGTCTTGAAGAGCGTGGCAGCAACTCTAAAATATCATCATCCCTTGGGCAACTGTTGCTTTTTTGATGCTATTTTGAGGCTTACACATATAATGGTTGTGCTTCTTATGAAATCATAGATTATTAAAATCATAGAATGATGGAATGGTTTGGATTTGAAGAGAACTTAAAGATATTTAGTTTCAGCCCAACTGCTCTGGAGAGGGACATCTTTCACTAGATCAGGCTGCTCAGAGCCTCTTCCAGCCTCATCTTGAACATTTCCAGGGATGAGGCAACAGCAACTTCTCTGGAAGACCCTTCCAGTGCCTCACAACCCTCACAACAAAGAATTTCCTCCTAAAATCTAATATAAACCTACTCTCTTTTGTTTTGAAGCCACTCCCCCTTGTCCTGTGACTACATGCTCTTGTAAAAACTCTCTCTTACCTTGTAGACTTCTTTTAGGTCCTAGAAGGCTGCAACTACATCATGCTGAAGCCTTCTTTTTTCCAAGCTGAATAAACCCAATTCTCTCAGCTTTTCTTTGTATGAGAGATGCTCATACACATAACCATGTTGGTGGCTCTCCTCTGGACTCATTCCAACAGGTCCATGTCTTTCTGTGCTAAGCACTTCAGAACTGGATGCAGCACTCCAGGTGGGGTCTCACCAGAACAGAGTAGAGGGGCAGAATCACCTCCCTCCACCTGCTGCCCACGCTGTTTTTTGATGCAGCCCAGGATGCAGTTGGCTTCTGGGCTGTAAGTGCTCATTGCCACCTCATGTCCAGCCTCTCATCCATCAGCACTCCCAAGTGCTTGGCAGGGCTGCTCTCGATCTGTTTGTTCCTCATCTTGTGTTGGTACTGAGGGTGCCGTGACCCAGGTGCAGCACCTTTCACTTTGTCTAATAAAACCTCATGAAATTCCTTTAGGCCCACTTCTCAGGCTTGTCCAGGTCCCTCTGGAAGGCATCCTGTTCTTCAGGAGGGTCAACTACACCACTCAGCTTAGTGTCATCTGCAGATTTGCTGAGAGTGCACTCAATCCCTTCATCTGTGTTGTTAATGGAGATATTAAATAATATTGGTCTCAGTATGGACCCTTGAGGGACACCACTTCTCACTAATGTTCATTGTGACTCTGAGTCATTGACCAGTACCCTCTGGAGGCAACTGCCCTGTCACTTTCTTATCCATCTAACAGTCCACTCATAAAATTCATCTCTCTCCAATTTAGAGAGAAGGATGTTGTGGGGAACTGGGAAAAGGCCTTACAGAAGTCCAGAAAAATGATGCCTTTAGCCCTTCCCTTGTCCACTGATGTAGTCACATGAACACGTCTTTCATAAGGCTGGTACTTTTTGTAAATAATATATTGGTGGTGACTGTTTTAACTAAGTTCTTTACCAGAAAACAAAACAAACCAAAATACTTCTATATCTATTTGGTGCAACTTCTAAAACTTGTAGCATTTTACTACTTTGTGCTTAATCATGCAAATGATTTAGCATATTTTCTTCAAAATCTTTAAAAGTAATTACATAGTCCAGTGAGCCCAAAAAGGAGCAAAAAAAAAAAAAAAAAAAAGAAATGAATTTTAAATCACATCCTCTGTTGATGAGCTACTATCTGTAGTTCATGGGTTATTATTAAATTTCATTCTGATGAGCAGCTTGAGTTGAAATGGAATAGCACTATAAAGTTTCAAATGAATACTTGTATCAGTGAAATGCCATTTTCCAGCACTAAAGTATCATGAAAGAATTCATATTTTACCTTTGAGCATCAGTCTGAATAAAGTATTATGCATTTAAACAAAATAATGAAAAAAACCAAACGCAAACCAGAAGCATAAATGGGCTGTCACAGACAGTTTAAAGGTTTCAACTTCTTGTTTAAACATGAGTTGATAAATATATTAATACAGGTCACTGCAGAACAGTAGATACGATCTGTGCACCTTAATATTTGAGTTAACCACTCACAGTATGTAACAAACTGCTCTCTGAATGGTATCCTCATAATCTAATTTCCTTGCTTTTGATAAAAACTAAGTAGTATTTGCATTTTCATCAATTTCACCATGACTGGACATCCTGAACAGGTTATTCCATTTTATTTGGAATATTTAATATTTGTTTCAAAACTGGAATGATTCTATTTTCCTTTTTATGCAACACATACCCATAAGAATAATAATTAAAAACTAATCTCAGATGAATTGCTATTATAATTGTAGTGTACTTGTGTTCCAGCTTCTACTATCTGTGTGGTATAAAGAGCAGTTATTTTTTTATGTCCTGTCACCAAAAACCAAAATTAAAATATTATAGGAACATTATAATTTCTGAAGCAGGAGACAGTGTTGTTGACCAGACCTATCTGTTCTAATCAAATATTTCTCATTATAACCTGAGAATATATCAAGCATTCCACAAAGGGGGAGTCTAGTTCAGCAAGAGTCCAGTAGAATCTGATTTACCATTTCAGCTCTGGGATTTCCCTGTTTTGCTGCAATTTTGCCTAACTGGCACCTCCTTTGTCCAGCGTTAGGAAGGTACCATAAACTTTTTTTCCAAAGTCACGGTGCTGCAACTGTCCAGGGCCCAAAGCAACACACCAGAGAGACCACAGAAGACAAGGTTTTAATTTTCTTCCAAAGGGGATATGATTTTGGGGAGAGAGTAATTTTACTGAGAATTACACATTTTTTTTATTTCCTATCAAAATGCTCTGTGAAATTATTTTACTTTCTACAGAAAGGGAATCACAACTTATCAAGTGTGTGTTAGGTGAAGGAGCAATCAAATTTGGAAAAAAAATCCCAAGTGATAGTTCCTCATAGCAATATTAATGTGTTTTCTGCTTTTCAACAGGTGGGAAATGTTGTTCAATTTCAATGCAAAAAAGGACACCTTCTCCATGGTTCAACAACACGAACATGCCTTCCTGATCTTACATGGAGTGGAATCCAACCAGAATGCATACGTAAGTAAATGGTAGAATTTTACCCTATCAATTTTTTTTTTTTAATCTAGACTATTTAGTTCCAGTAACATTGTTATAAAGTTAATTTAATCTATATGGTTTATAACTGAGAGTTAATAGAAATTTACATTACTAGCTTACAACAGCTAGAAATATGATTTTGCGAGTGAATTTTTCTACAATAGACTATAGAAATAAAAAAAAAGAGAGAGAAAGAAAATAGAAAAATAGGCAGGCCTTCATCTATAGTCAGTTTTTATCTAAGAGGGTACAACCCTTCCAATGCACAGAGGAGGTAATGAGAACAGGACGTATTGGAAAGCATATAATCAGTTCTAGCAATGAGTTAAAACTGTTTCTCAACTGAGGAGTCATGGCATTTTAAAAGGGAGAAAATGAGCTGGCAATTGGAAATTTTTTAATCTGAAATAGAGAGAAATCTACTTATTTGAATATTGAAAGTAGCCCTTCATTTCGTAGATCTTTTACACTTTGGTAAACAGTGATAATTTACCGAAGATATAACATCATGGTTAATTGTTCTAGTTCAGCTACTCAGCTGTATTTTTTTGGAAGTCATCTATCCTTATAAGGTTTGACCTTATAGAATCACTTCAGTGAATGGAGAACATATCCACAGAAGAAAACAGCATTAATATTATTTTAGTTAGTGCTCATGTTAATCTTAAGCAAACAGCAAATCAGTAGCTCAGTGTTAAAGGTGAACTCTGCTTTTGGAGGTATTCTGTCCTTGAGATAGCACATAACTGGAAGATTCTGGTGGTTGTTAAATGTATAAGGCTCTTCACATGAGATTAGAAATGGTAATTATTTTTTCTGCCTGATATTTATGATTCACCTTCAATTTCTCCTTGACCTTTCATAGTGGTTTTAAACTGACCCATTTATTTACTGTTATTCAATGATACACAGATATTGTAAGTGTAAATCACGAGACATGATTACTTTGAAGTCTGGTATGATGTTTGCTGTTTCTGTTCTCATATACAGACAGTTAATTTTGTTCATGCAAGTGCAATTCAGTCAGTTCTTAGTCCCTTGGAATTGAGAGGTCCATGTTTAAGAGTGTATTTACAGGCTCATGGTGATACTTTATAGATTATATAGTAACTTATAATGTGAATTAAAATATGTTAATGTATTTTTTTTTACTTTGTTAATTAATTGTCAGAATGGGCATAGATTATTTTTCAGAAATATTTTCCCCATTTTGACTGAAGGATATTTTATCTTTTCTTCGTAGCTCACAGCTGTAAACAACCAGAAACACCAAGTCATGCTAACGTTGCAGGAATGGATCTTCCCTCACTTGGTTATACATTGATTTACACTTGTCAGCCAGGCTTTTTCCTGGCAGGAGGTTCGGAGCACAGAGCCTGTAGGTCTGATGGCACATGGACTGGGAAAGTTCCGGTTTGTGAAGGTAAGCTTTTCTGTTTCCCACTGCACTTGTCATCTGTCATATTTCGGTAATTTTCTTTACTTGCTGGCACATGCAGGCCAGCAAGTTGATAGGACTTAGTCACATATTTTTATGAAACATAGGTCCTGCTTGACTAACCAAATCTCCTTCTATGACAGTGTCATGCTTAGTGGTCACTCAGTACCTGGCACTAGTGAGACCACACCTTGAACAGTGTGTGCTCTTTTGGGGCCCTCACTGCAAGAAAGTCACCGAGGTGCCAGACTTTGTCCAAAGAAAGACGACTAAGGTGGCAAAGGGTCTGGAGCACAAGTCCTGTGAGGAGAAACTGAGGGAGCTGGGGGTGTTTATCCTGGGGAAAAGGAGGTTCAGAGGACACCTTATTGCTCTCTACAACTACCTGGAAAGAAATTGTAGCAAGGTTGGTGTCTTTTCCAAAGTAACAAGCAATGAGGGAAAATGGCCTAAAGTTGTGCCAGGAGAAGTTTAGGCTACCCAGGAAAGTGATGGATTCCTGGAGGTATTCAAAAGACGTGTAGATGTGGCATTTAGGGACATGATGTAGTAGAGGTACACTTGGTAGCACTAGGTTAACTATTGGACTTGATGATCTTAGAGGTCTTTCCCAACTTAAATGATTCTGTGTTTCTATACTAATATTTGAGAAGGATACCTGAAGTCTAAGAAGGTATCTGAATCACTATGTGAAACTAAACCACAGGGTTTAGTAGTATTTTATATTTATATATAAGGAACTTAATGCTGCTTGATAACAAAGTGTAACTACTTTGTCCTTGATGTTCCAACCTTTTGTTTTGTTTCTAATTTTTATTACCTGCTTTGCCATGACAAAATGTGAAAAATATCACAGCCAAGTCATGGTGAGAAATGTGGTTTTCATGTGAGAGAAGAAACATTCTCAAGTATAGGAACTGTTTGAAATTTCATTTCTTAAATAATTAAAGGCCTTTTCAGACCATGTTTACCTAATGTTTCAAATGTGGTTATCCCCAGGGCTCTTATAAAGACATTCAAAGCCTCTATAGACAAACACTACTACTTGGAAGGAAAATAGGAAATTAATATTTTGTATTACTAAAAAACAGGTGTCCTGGCATTGCATGCCAGGTAGGTGCTGAGGGAAAATAGAACAGAGCTTTGGGAAAGTATTAGAAAGCCAGCAGCCAGGAAGCTTATGACTTGTTGAGTACTTGGAAAGTGTTATGGCAGGCTAATTTTGATCCAAAATTTTTTTGCTGATGATATTGAAAGAAGCATTAGTTGTACCACCTGATAGTAAGGAAACTTAGGATTTTTTTAAAGTATTAAGTAGTTGCTATCTACATTGTCATATAACTTAGTTTCCCAGTGTCCTGAAAAAATGTTGCAGAAATTAAATTTTTTTTAGGATCAGAAGTCTTTTGTCTTGCTTTTTAGCAGTGGATGAAGCTAAGAATGAGCAACATATTGCTAAGTGTTAACTCTAATTAGATAAAGTAAAATATCTCTTAAATAATCTTTTTTTTTTAATTTTGCCTATACAGAGGTGAAATCTCTCTCCTATGGAAAAGAGAAGAGCACCAGCTCAGGTTGTTCATCTCTTATTGTGGACTTCACAAAAGTAACTTGGAAATGGATGAAAAGGAATAAAATATTTGGAGCTGAGAGCTCTAAAAGGATATTTAGGGGGAATTAAACTAGAATTTGATCCTTTAAATAAAAAATCGAAGTCCTTCTCAGAAAATATCTTGACCTAGAAGCTTAAACTTCGTAGATAACGAAGTTTATTTTGTATTTAAAATTTTAAGTTCTGAACTTGACTAGAAATTTGTTCAACTTGAAGAGAATGATTGACTCATCATCTTTTTATGCTAAAACCCAGTTGGCAAGTATGATCTAGATATTTCTAACCTAAACTTAATGTAGTCAGAAAGCAAATGCTATTGAACTATGCCCTCCAGGTCAACCATGCACAGTGAAGTTTAGAAGGTTTCTTTCAAAACAGAAGAAATAGAAATTAATCAGTAGCAACAGTCCATGAGCACTTTAGGTTGAATTTCAACCCCTGACCTTTCATCTTTATGGTTTTAACATACATGATAAGAAAAGACCTTTTGAAAAAGCTAAAATTTATTCTCAAGAAAAATATTCTCAGTCCTAATTGCTAAAGTTTCCTCTTTATGCAGAAAAATACCCCACTCAGAGGACTGTGGCTTTTTAGCGCATGAATCGGAGAGAAAAGGCATGGTTTCAGAGCCAAGACCTAAAATACAAAGTATTGAAATCACCATTAGAGAAAGGAATTGAGCCTAGTGCTGCATGAGAGTATTTTACATTAGGAGAAAGAATTATGTGTCTTCTTTATGTTCCAGTGAATCCAAATTACTTTCAGCAAAATAAAATAGCTTAATCTACAGGAAATTACACTGTCCTATTGCGTTCAGTTCATCATCCTCAGTGGTGGGAGAGTTCCTGCTCTAAGCAGAGAAGATAATTAATTCTCCAACTTG